GTCGTGCGCCAATTGGTGGCTATTCAGCGATGATAAGTACGCCCGACATTTCCCCGCCTTTAATTGCGCCGACGGTTTGGCCTTTGATTATCGCAAACATTTTCATAAATGTTAATTATTAATGTGAACATGTATTAAGGTGATTTATATTTAGACCATCATTATAAATTTTTGCTCAAATAAATGAATTGACTATAAGTTATTTGTTATCTTGAAGAAATAATGTCAACATTTTAAAACTATATCAGTGAATTTGCTGAATAAATATACATGTTAAATATTTATTTCATCATAATTAATTTAAAAACGATTAGAAATTATATAAGGTACTTGTTGCACCATAGAAATGATATTTTAAATTACATTATAAATTAATTTTCAAGTTAATTATCATGTAAACATCAATTAACTGTGCATTGTTATAGACTATTTAAACATCTGGCATTTTGTTTCAAACAATAATGTAATTTTAATTAATTATTAAGTTTTAAAATTATACAATATTACCCTAATATTTTTTACATTATACTTTGCCTTTAAAACTTTAATTTAAATTCAAAACATTTATTATTATAAAATTTTTAATAAAATTAGAAAAAATTTTACATTAAAAATATTTTGATTGTTAATCAATTAAAAAAACAATATACTATATATTTTATGAATAAAAATAATATAATTAGAATTAACTGTAATTGGCATGTGTGTAAATAGTAATAAATTAAATATATAAAACAACAACATGCAAGATAAATGATAATTATTCCAAAAATTTACTTTGTCAAGCAATCTCACTATCAAACACATTATTTAGTGACTAAAAAAATGTATAAAATTAAACATACCTCAATTTTGGCCACCTTGTTTTTGGCCACCCTAATCCAACTGGCGCAGGCATGTACATTTGACTCGGACTGTACAATCAACGGGGTGGTGCAACGTTGCGTGAACAGGCACTGTGTGGTGCCCTCCGTACCTCAATCGGTGGGTAGAGTGGCCAACGTAACACATTATACCAATATTACCCAAATTCACGTGGTTCATGTGGTTTCCCATGAGTGCGTAAAAGATCTTGATTGCCGCGAAAAACGTGGTATTTATTTCAAGTGCCATAACTATCAGTGCGTGCCCTCCGATCACAAGACATGCCTAACTGATGATGATTGCAAAAAGAACAAGGTCAATAAAAAGTGCAAGAATAGTCATTGTACTTATAAGTTTTGGTAAGGTCCTTTATTGTCAGTAACCTGGTTTAACTGTTTCAAATTTTGGCAATTTACTGTTTCATTTTTTAATGTAATTGATAAATAAATTATGCAATTAATCAACTATTTGTTTTTTGGTTGTTATTGTATTTTAATTCCAGATAATTATGTAATAAAAAGCAGTATTTATTTAAAATAAATGTGTTTCATTATGTTAACTTTTTATATTTCATAGAGAGAGAGAGAGAGAGAGAGAGAGAGAGAGAGAGAGAGAGAGAGATTAAATAGTTTTCATTAATTGCTATCATCAATAAAATATTAATATTGTTAAAATTATTTAATAAAAATTAAAATGAAATTAAAAAATCAATAATCAATTTAATAATAATTTTATCTAATAGTAAATAATTTGATAATAATTATTAAATCACACAATTATTATATAACACTATTACGAGAAATAAACTTAAATAAATACCAAACTATAATTGATCAGGTGATAACACAAACACGATGATAAGCATAGATGGTAAGTTTATTGATCCATACAATTATTACATTATGTATAGCAATATAACCGGAAATCTAACCTAATATTGCTTTCGTATGGCATATAAACCTCAAAATATGAGCTAAACATAAGTCTGCAAAATACACATATAATACCTACACATAAATCAATAGTGTATTAATTAAATAAAGTTGTTTATAACGAGTAATTCATAGCATATATGGTGTGATAAATAGATAGTTTGAAAAGTAAACTAAATATTTTTACTACAAATACAACTCACTTTTCATATAAGAAATACTTATATTTATTTCACTTTCAATAACTGTATCAAAAATTATAATTTAAAATATTTGCAATCATGTTCAATATAAAATTGATCGCTATATTTGTGACCATGGTCATAGCCACCACAAATGCTATACCATGCACATTTGATGCGGAATGTACCGTGGGCGGTGTTGTACATCATTGCGTAAATCAACAATGTTCATTGAGCAAGGCAGCGCCGGTGGTGGTCATCGCGAACACCTCTACCAACGCAGCTAGCTCAACTGGCCAGGCAATCATACAGATCATTAAGCCTATGTTGGAATGCCAAAGAGACGTAGACTGTTATAAACGTGGTATTTATTTCAAATGCAAAAATACCAGGTGCGTTCCCGCCGATCATAAAATATGCCTAAGCGACCAGGATTGCAAGAAAAACACCCTGAACAAGTTTTGCCGTAATAATCATTGTACCTGGCAGCCATTGTAATTTTTATATTTATTGTATTTGTGTTTTTTATGACGTAAAATAATAGTTATGTAATTTAAATAAATTATATAAACTAATCTAATGAAATAAATTAATTTATAAAATAATTGTAATGAATAAATTATTATAATGATTATTAATTGTAATGTTTTATGCATTTTAATTATAATTATTTATTTTTTAATTTAATTTGTTGTCAAATAAAGTTTTTTATAATTTTTTATTGTAGTTTTTTGTTGTTGTAGAGTTTTACATCCTTAAGTTTTAACTTGATGTTTTGTATTACTTAAAAATTACGTGATATTCATCATGGTGTGTCATTAGGAAATCCTATTTAAGTATTTTCATTAGAAGAATATCCCGGATAAAATTTGCCATAATACAATAAAAACTATTTATTAATATTTTGTAACTTATACTTAATTAAAAAACATCTAACTTGTAACTTTTAATAATATTATTTACTAAGTTTGCCTGTATTAATAAACACTATATAAATACATTAAATCAGTTAAAAACACAAAATTAAATTAGCTTGCCATAATAATTACTAAAAATATTACTATTGATAAAACATGCTTAATAAAATATTTGCTGTTGTATTGTTGACCGCCTGTCTGACCATGGTCATTGTGGAGTGCCGCATTCACCATGGTTACAAGTTTGATTGTTTCAAGGACGTCGATTGTTACAATCGTGGTAAATTTCTCAAATGCAAAGATCGCCGATGCATTCCAAGCGATAATAAAATTTGCCTGACCAAATTGGACTGTAGGCACAACTTGCTTAATAAACATTGCCGCGATAATCATTGTCACATTTTTGGTTAGCCTGGTTAAATTATTGCCTTGATTGTTATTTAATGCTTGTAAAAATAATATTTAAATACAGTATTGTTTTTAAGCAATAAATAAAATGTTATGTTTAAAAATATTGTTTACAATCATTTTTAATAAATTATAATTATTGCAAAACTTGTTTTTTATTTATTTTTAAATCGTGATCATGATTCAGATAATTTAATTTTAATGTTGCTATAAATAATGTAATAATAATATATCGATCATGGCAAAAGTATTTCTGTACATTAATTAACACTAAATTATCTACTCATACATAACAGTAAAAATTAATTCAATTAAATATTTACAAAATAACTTAATTTAGCAAAACTAAATTATTTATGCAAGGTCATTCTTTGTTATTACAAAACTGTGTAATACCATTAAATATTGTTGCTATTAATAATCTATTACGATGATTGATCGACACATAATAATGTACAGGTAATGCAATAATGTACAGGTAGTAAAAAGTAGTTTCCTTTCTAATTGAAATACCGGTTGTTGTTTATACTTATACTGTTCAGTAGAACTTAAAAGTTAAATACATTATGATCATTATTTATTAATTTATTTGCTGTGACATATACACATTGCAATGTTGAATACATTAAGGTAATATATTTTTCAAGGAATTTGCTCACCGAAAGTTGTTTTGCACATACAATGTATTTCCAAGTAAAACTACAGTCAATAGTCGTTTTAAATTACACAGGTTTATAATCATTATTTTTGAAAATACTTAATTAATTTAGTTATAATGAATTTTATGATGAATCAAACATTTTTAATTTATATTACTGTAAATTATTAATCTAATTTAGATATACAAAATACATTTCATTAAAAAATTTCATAAGGGTAACGCAATATAATATTTTTCATTTATTTTAAAAAATCATCAAAACAAGTATAGACTGTATACATAAATTGATCGCTTGTTTGTTACAACAAAAAGGGTATTTTAAAAGTAAAAACTTTTTAAATAATACACTTTGTTATTAAAGTCGACGCACAACACATCGCAACACAAAATTCAACCAACATTCAATTTATTCATTAAAAAGGTATTATTTTTTAATAAACTAGATTAAATAAAATATAATAAATATCAAAAAACTATTTAATAATACTATTTAAAATTTAATAAACCATTTATTATTTGCTTTTCAGATTGCCAAAATAAATTCACCATGAACACAGCAATTGCCATATTTATACTGGCCAACGTGCTAGTTGCAATCACAGCCCTACCATGCAACTTTGACGCCGAGTGCACTGTAGAGGGTGTACCGCATTACTGTGTGGCCAAACAATGCTCGCTAACACCGGCACCGGGCAGTCCCGTGCGGGCAGTTATTCCGGGACAGGTGGCCGGCCTACCGTCAGTAGTGGGCCCATACGTCGAGTGCCGTATAGATGTTGACTGTTACCCGAAAGGCATATACCAGAAGTGCTCAAAGAGCAGGTGTGTGCCCGCGGACAACAAGATCTGCCTGACTAATGATGATTGTAAAAAGAATCGCTGGAATAATAAGTGCAGAGATAATCATTGCACTTGGATTTAAAAAGTGGTAATTTAAGTTGGTTACTCTACTTATGTTTTGAAAATGGTATTGTTTAATACTGTTTTTGCTAAACTTGATGTTTTTTTAAATCAATGTTTGACTATTACAATTTGACATTTGTATTTTTGCCAGTTGCAATGATCTTGAAAATAAAATTTACTTAACCTTAAAGAGATATTTTGTAATATATTATTTCTACCGTATAAATTATATGTAAATTACCTTTATTTATGTGCAATTACAATACAAGTTAATATAACTTATGATCATAAAATTAATTTTATAACAATAATGAGTAATAATTCAGTAATATGTAATCTTATATAATGTAAAGAATTTTACCTAAATAAATTGTTTTATTTTTGATAAATTTTATTTACTAAACCCCAATTGCTATAATTACCGCGATAAATAACTTATATAAAAATAGTAACAGTAAATAAAGTGTATATAAAGCGTAAACAAACTAGATAACTATAGCTTACGCTTATTAAACTGATAAGCAACTTGTATAAAAACCCCATTAATTTACAACAATAACAATTATTACTTATAATCAAGTTATTAACCCTAACTAAAAATTTACAAAACAATGAAAACATTTTTAATAATTGTAATTATGGTCACTTTACTGCCGCATATGTTGGTCACTCTCAACACAGAGTTCCCATACGCCGAGTGCTACCGACACATGGATTGCATTAATTACGGCACTTATAACGAGTGCCAAAACGGCCGGTGCGTTGTCAGCCCACGTAAGCTATGCCTACAGGACTCGGACTGTACTATACGTACGGTTACAAAACGATGCGTTAATGATCAATGTGAAATATAAATA